GGCCCCACCGAGGGTCCCATTCCTCGATACATAGCCGCCTCCGGAGCCGGGAGGCGCCGGGAAAATCAGCTACATGAGCTGTTTCTCAAACCCCCCCTTTGGTATCCCCCCCTTTCGCCCTGGGGTCCGAGGTACGAGTGGATGGGGCCGGAGGATCGCGCCGCATTGCCGATGCGTCGGCGGTGCGGCTCGATGCGGGGTTCGATTTTCTCCACGCCGACGTCGCCGATGCATCGCCAACGTCGCCAGGGCATCGCCAGGGCATCGCCAATGCATCGCCTATGCATCGCCGATGCAGTGCCGATGCGGCGCGATCCTCCGACCCCATGTACTCCGAGCCCATCTATGAGGCCTCTACTAGTGCACGTGCGTTTCAGCCGCTGGTGTTGTGATGGAAGACGACAGCTAAAGAGGCTGTTCTGGGAAAGCAGTAAAGTAACCTCTGAATAACCTGAACGTAACTTCTGGCAAATTACTAAACGTATGGATTGTTTGGAGTCTGCCACCAGTGCCTGCCACCAGTGATTGGGGGCAGCGCGCGCGGAGCCCCTTGGCGAGCAGGCCCCAGGCCTCTGGCGGTGGACTCTGTTGCGGTCTGTGGCGTCCCGGCGCTCCCCTTCGATCTCGGCCTCTTCCAGGGGCCCCGGCATCGGGCTCCAGGGCCATCCACAGTGGATGCGTCGCCCCCGCAACCGACTTGACCATGCACCGCGTTCGACGCTGAGAAAAAATACCTGGTGAAGGTTATGCTGATGAAGCTGATAATGGTGATGCTGATGGTGCTGATGTTGAAAAGGCTGATAGTGATGATGTTGGAAGTAATGGTGATGATGATGATGATGATGGTGATGATGATAATGATGATGATGATGATGATGATGACGACGACGATGACGATGACGATGACGATGACGATGCTGATGATGCTGATGGTGATGCTGATGATGATATGATGATGATGATGATGATGATGATGATGATGATGATGATGATGATGATGATGATGATGATGATGATGATGATGATGATGATGATGATGATGATGATGATGATGATGATAGCGACGATGATGATGGCCGCGCCGTTTGTCCCGACGCGCGGCCCCACGTCTTTGGGAGGGGGCCTCGGCCACCAGGGCAGTCGCCGCCTCGGACGCGGTGGGCTCGCCGTGGGCTGGCCGCGGTGCGGGCTTCATCTGCTTGAGCGCGTTGGAAGACAAAGAACGCGTCGACACATCCGGGATGCAGGACCTTCCCCGCGAGAGCGGTCGGAAGCCTTGGAGCTGCGCATGGAAGCACAAATCCACTCGGCTGATTCCTGGGTCACCAGGGAAGGAGAAGGAGGGAGTCGTCGCGAAAAAAACAGGATAGAAGTGGTTTTGGAGGATTTCTGTCTTGTGGGCACTTGCTGGTCCCTGGGGCCGTCGTACAACAACGGCCCCAGATGAAAATATGGTCCTGGAGAAAGTGTTCACACCAAGGCGCGGTCCCATGGGTAGGCGATCCTACGTATACGCTCAGCACGTGGCATCCGCGGAAAGCAACTTGGTAATGTCAAGCGCTGTAGTGCGACAAATCATTATTTGGCGACGGTGCCGCATCAAAATACCCCGTGAGCGAAATACTGGAATTTGTAATTTTGATTTTGGCGATGGCGCCTTTGGTGAACCACCGAGTCCCTTCGGTGCGCTGTCGAGATTCGATAAGCCTGGTTTTCGCATTGTTAAATTCGGCGGTGGCGTCGTAAACAACTTCCCCGCAGAACAGCCACAGCGAATTGCACGAAGGCGTGAGGGCCCAGTATCCATGGTGCCGCGGGCGGACGAGGGAGGGAGCCGTGGCCGTCGACGCCCTCGCCTCGGGCAGCCTCCGAGCGGTCCTGGAGGCCCTCGTCGACGCGGCTGGGGCCGGCTCGTCAGGCCCCAGCGGTTCCGAGGGCCGATTTTTTGATCGCAGGGCATGGGGAGCAGGCCCGCATGCCTCCGCTCCCCCCCTGCCCCCCGCGCGCGATCCCGCGCGCACAATCTTCCTCCCCCGCTTCGTCCTCCTCCTCCCCCCAGCCTTTTCCTCGGCCTCCTGGCCTCAGCGGTGGCGGAGTGCCGAGGCGAGCCTTCGCGGCGTCCCGTAGCGAGGATTCCGCCTGCGGCCAAAGGTATCCCCCCTGCAGGGCCCCACCAATTGTCGTGCCCCTTACGTTTTCCCTATCTTCCAGTTTGGGGGCCTTCAGTCGCTGTCCCTCAGCCTGGGGCACTCCACAGGACCATTGGTGCTGCTCTGCTCTGCGACTCCTTGTGCCATGCGACAGCGGAAGTCGCGGCGCACCGTGCGAAGGGTTGGAAGGGCAGTATTATGGACCACGCCGCCAGGCCACTCGTGGCCACAGATCTTCTCTTTCGGAGGTATCACAAACATTGATATTGTGGGCCCCGCTTGACGCCGGCGGGCTAGGCTGAACGTTGCATGCAGGGGGGCAAGATGTTGCACCTGCTAGAAACATCACGTGGTACAAAGGAGACGTCCTCTCGCGCCACAAGAGAATCGGCTGGTTGCCATGCCCCCAGCACCGAACAATGTTTTTAACAGTCTGCCCACTGGGCTAGGTACTGGTGCTAGGATGCAGCACCAGGCCCCCGCCTCTTGAGGAGGAGGAGAGGTGGAGGGGGAGGGGGAGGTGGAGAACGAGGAGGGGAGCAGAGGACGTGTGGGATGACGACGAAGAGGTTCCGCGAGGAGGGACGTCGATTACTAGTTCGAGGGAGGTGGAGAAAGAGGCGGAGGCGGAGGAGGAGGAGGAGGAGGAGGTGGATTGAAGAGGAGGAGTATTGCGAGAGCGCTCGGACTCCACTGGGCCCGCGGGGCGGGAGCAGCGGGCCCCCTCCCCACCGGGGGTGCCTCCGCGTGCAGCTCTCCCAAGGAGTGAGCACGCGTGCAGCTCTCCCAAGAGGTTCCGGACGGAAGCGCCATCGTCGATTTCCCACGGAACACGCAGACAAACATAACGTGCAACTCTCCCGAGAAGTTAACATCGTCGCCGATTTCCCACGAAACGCAGGCACACATCACATGCAACTCTCCCACGAGGTTCAGGAAGGAAACAGCATCGTCGATTCCCGCGGAGCACAGACACAACGAATCGTCGACCCCCGGGAAGATGGATAAGATGGGAACGGGATGGGAAGGCGAACGTGCAGAACATGCGGGCAAACATGGGGAGAGGAGGAGGAGGAGGAGGAGGAGGAGGAGGAGGAGGAGGAGGAGGAGGAGGAGGAGGAGGAGGAGGAGGAGGGGGAGGGGGGGGGAGGAGGGGAGGAGGAGGAGGAGGAGGAGGAGGAGGAGGAGAGGAGGAGGAGGAGGAGGAGGAGGAGGAGGAGGAGGGGGAAGAGGAGGACGAGGACGAGGACTAGGGCGAGGACGAGGCCGAATCCTAGGATTTGTGTCTATTTCTTTGTGTGTGTCACCGGGCCCCTGCAGACGTGTGCACGCTCGGGAGCATGGCCTGGATTGGCGCGGCCGAGCGCAGGGTTCTCCTGGGGGGGGGCACTCCAGGGGCAGGGCGAAGGCCGTGGAGCAGAGGGAGAGACGGGCGCGACCGAGGGAAGGAAGAAATACACACACACACACAAAGACCAATCATCGTCGATTCCCACGAGAATATGGAAAGCTATGGGAAGTGGGGGGGGGAAGACGGAACTCAAGAAACTATGTGAAAAGATGGGGGATCCTGAGATGTGTGTCTATTCATTTGTATGCCCCTGGGCCCCTTTGAGAAGGAGAAGACCTACTCAGATGGCGGTGGGACTCCGCCTTCCAGTGTCTTCGGGAATGGCTTAGAAGGCTTCTCAGAAGGCCGGTGGAATTCCGAGCCTTCTCAGAAGGCCCGCCCCTTTTCCTCATTTGCACCCCAGGTTTTCGCCGCCGAAGAGAGCGATGGCGGAAGAGAGGGAGGGAGCACAGCCAACCCGCATATCAAGGATGACCGGCTTTCCAAGGTTACCCTCGCATCCTCCCCCTTCGGCCCATCCTTGGCCGCTCTTGCTGGCGGCACCCCGCTCGCATATTGCCGACATGGCTTTCCAAGGCCCTTGCATCCTTGGCGCGCGTCCTTATTGTACGGGTTGACTCTACCTCCGCCATGCGCTGTGCCATCGTTATGCAGCTGCTCGTTTTTGGTGTCAGTCGTTACGGCGGGGGCGATCGCTCAGGAGTGTGCACGGGATGCCTGAGACCCTGGAGGTTGCCTTATCTGATGAAGGCGGCGGCGATACCCAGCCGTGCCCATGCAGTGCCGCAGCCGTGCCCAGGGGCCCACCGCAGCCCATGCCCACCTCTGGGCGCGGGGGGCGGACGCAGCAGCTGATAGGTGGCGTCCGTCAAGCACATCGCCGCCCACCGCTCTGAGGCAGCAGACAGACGCGGCGAGCCCACCATGCTCCAGCTCCGCGGCAACCGGTTGGCGGACGCGCGCGCCAAGGAGGGCGCCAGGCCCCCGGCGCCAGCCGCTGGCCTCACCCTCCTGCTGGAGGGGTGGCCCGGCCAGAGCCCGAGACGCCGCTCGCCACGCTGCGGAGGCGTAGGTGCACATCTCCAGCTCGGACCCGCGCGATTCCTGGCCCCTGGAGGCGCTCGATGACATCGACCTCGAGCCGTGCACGCTCCGCACGGAGCACGACCACTTCGTGGCCGGCGAGTCTTCAGCGGCGGGCGAGCCAGGAATCTCGGCCACGGCTGCAGGCGCTGCGGTGGTGGCGGCCGCGGCAGCAGCTGGAGCAGGAGCGACCGGAGCGGAAGCTGACGAAGCCAGCGCCGCAGGGCCTGCACGGAGGGACGCCCGCAAGCGGCCTGCGGCGTAACGTGCCGCTGCCTCACTCCGTGGTGGAGCCGCCGCCGCTTGAGCCCGCCGCAGTTGCTAGCGCCTCGGCCTCTTCCAGTGTTGCCTCGGCGCTTCACCCCAGCGGCGCCGAGGCCCGAGCGGGCCCGTGGTTTGCCAAGGGGCACCAGCCCATGCAGGCTAGGACAGGAGTCGGAGGTCATGCTTGTGCGCACGCGATGTTTTCATGTACTGCTGGCAGCCGAGGTACGCGTTCAGTGGTCTCGCCAAGCCCCGTTTTGGTGCTACGTTCCGCTCAGAAGAAGGATCGCGGGATCATGCCCGCACAGACATTTCAAAGGGAATGGCGCCAGGGAGCGACAAGCGACGGTTCAGCGCGATGGTGTCGCCAACGGCACCGACCCGTGTGCAATGGGCGCGCGCCTTGGGGGTCACAGAGGGCCTTCAGAATAGCAGGCTGGCGGCCGTTCCGATATTCGCTGCGGCAACTGACCCCGCTGCTGCAGCCCGAACCCGCCCCGCTACTGCTGAGCCGCACGCACCGAGGCAGCAGGCCCTGATCCTGCCTGGCATCGGCGGTGTGCTGGCCTCGCAAGGCTTCGACTTGGCCGCGGTGGCCATCTAGCGGGGCCGCAAGGCTGTCGCCGACAGGGCCGAGAGAGCAGCTCTAGCGGCGATGGCGCGGGACGGTGCATGAATTTTTCCCTTGCACTCAATTGCCGGACCTCGGTTGTGCCCGCGGAGAGAAAAACAATATGCTTCCTCCGTCGTGCATGTAGCTTGGCCGCTTTGAATGGCCAGCGCACCTCGACATTTGATCTCGGAGGTACCACCTGCTTCTGGGCGGCTTGCGTGGTGATCAAAAAGATGTCCGTGGATGTCCCTCGGCCCCCCATCCTCGACGCAGTGGACACATCAAATCTGCGACGGGCCTCCCAGCGGGCTCCTTGGTGAAGCTTCTCATGCGGCCGGAAAGGACCACGGCAGCCTTGGGGCGCCTTATGACACCCGAAAGGTCGACGACACAAGTGCCCCTCGATATCGTGCCGCAACACTACCGCGTTCTTCTGCATCTGCACGCATCCTGCGTATTTTTTTCAAATAGACCACAGGGCAGGCACAATTCTGGGGGTGCATGCGGGCGCAATTCGGTGGGTTTATTTAAAGGATACTTCCATGGTTTCCAGTCGACGCCCCACGTTGCCGCCGTCGCCGCCCCGTCGCCGCTTCGTCGCCACCCGTAATTCGGACTGTTTGTCGGTCTGGCGGTTATGTTGTCGCACTCGCCTCCCCGTCACCGCCGTCGTCGCACCCTGCCGACGTTAGGTTGCAGTACGTAGATTACACAACATGCATTGCATCGCCTATGGGAGGCACGGTCCGTATAGAATAATACCATGTGGGCGACTATCGCGCGCCGGCCGCGTGCGCATGTCGAACTCTTTCCAAAACCTTCATCACCGACGCGAGGACGCCGTCATCGTCGTCGGCGCGATCAGCATCTGCACCCGCACGGGCCGCGCCGTCGTCGTTGCCAACGTCGTCGCCAGCATCGCTACTACCATCATCGTGTGTACCGGCGTCGACGTTGCCATGATACCGCGCCCGCCCAAATCGCCGACTCGCACTGAAGTGCCCGCTGGGGTGTGCCCAGCGGTCAGCGCCACCGCGGCCGCGTCGGCCGCTCCAAATTAGCTGGCCTCTGCGCGCGCGTGCTTGGGTTAACGCGGCCCGCATCGTCACCGGCATCGCTACTACCATCATCGTGTCCACCGGTATCGACGTTGCCACAATACCGCGCCCGCTCAAGCTGCCGACTCGCACTGAAGTGCCCGCTGGAATGTGCCCAGCGGTCAGCGCCATCGCGGCCGCGTCGGTCGCGCCAAGCTAGGTGGCCGCTGCGCGTGCATGCGCGGGCTGGCGCGGCCGCCTGAATGCACCAGCCAAAACCACGCAATCATCGCAATCGCCGCGGGCTGGCATTTGCAAACCAAATTGCGGGTGAGCCGGGTGTTCACGCGAGCAGTGGAAGTGGTCAAGCGCGGTGCAGGGTAGTCAGTTCTCTTTTCTAGAAAGAGAATAGGCTCTACCCCCCCTCCCCGGCGTTATCGCCCCCCGTTCGGGTATGTAAATCACATTTGATTCGGACCACATGTCCATCTTAAATATGAAATCGCAATGTCCCAGGCCAAGCCGGCTCCCCCACCTGAGGCTCCCTGGTTCAATTAACAAAAAAAGCATGCGGTGACATTTTTGGTTCTAACATAACATTTTTTTCGCGAATCCCTTGCAACAGATGGGACGAAGTGCGCACGCGCGCGTCGTCGCGCGCGATTGCCGGAGTCCGTCAAAAACCGTCGGTGCCGGAAGGAGTTTGCAATCGAGCTTCCAAAAAATATGCAAACGCAGGGCTTCGTAACACAAAAAAGCTTACGCGCGAACTCTTGCGAAACCTTTTATAAATATATAAAAACAGCTGTTTTTTTTTCGAACGGGCGTCGCGCGCGCATGTCGAAATTTTTCGAACGCCCTTGCGCGTGTGCCGTCGCGAGAATCTTCTAGAACAAATGTGACGAAGTGCAGACGCGAGCGTCGTCGCGCGCGTACGCCGAAATCCTTTAAACCCATCGGTTTCGGAAGGATGTCAAAATCGCGTGTCCAAAAAACATATAACAACACAAGGTTTCGCAAAACGGATTTTCAACAAAAGCGTGCGCGCGCACTCTTGTGGCGTCGTCGTCGTCGTCGTCGTCGTCGTCGCCGTCCTCCCTCCTCTCGCGTCGTTGTCGTCGTCGTCGCCTACGTCGTCCCGTGTCGTTCCTCGTGTTCGTCGTCGTCGTCCTCTTTGGCGTCGTGCTCGTTTCCATGGTCGTTGTCGCCGTGGTCGTCCTTCCTCCTCCCTCGTCGTCGTCGTCGTCGTCCGTCGTCGGCGTCTCGTCGTCGTCCCTCCTATTTCGTCGCCGTCGTCGTCGTCGTTGTCGTCGTCGCCTCGTCGTCGTCTTCCCTCGTCCATCGTCGTTGTCGTCGTCGGCGTCGCCGTCCTTCCTCCTTCTTCGTCGTTCGCGTCGTCGCCGTCCTCCCTCCTCCCTCGTTGTCGTCGTTGTCGTCGTTGTCGTGGTTGTCGCCGTCGTCGTCCTCCCTCCTCCCTCGTCGTCGTCGTTGGCGACGTGGTCGTCGTCTTCGTCGTCGTCGTCGGCGTCGGCGTAGTCGTCTTCGTCGTCGTAGACGCCGGCGTCGTCGTCGTCGCCGCCGTCGTGGTCGTCGTCGTCGTCGTCGTCGGCCGTCTTGCTTCTCCGGCCGTCTTGGGGCACTCTTGAGACGCCCCCGAGGGCTCCAAGACGACCCCGGAGCGATATCTGTGCTCGGTCCCGCATGCGTTTTGCAAACCAAGTTGCGGGTGTGTGGGTGGGATGATTGCGCGAGCAGTGGAGTTGACAATTTCAAGTTCGGCAAGTGAACTGCACATTATATACTGCACCATCTGCATTGCATTACCTATATTGGATCACGCGTTGCACAACACAGTGTGCCATATGGGTTGCGCCTCGTTGATTGCGCAACGCAAAATGCACAACGCACATGGACTTGCACGAACTAGATTGCACCGCGCACATGGCACACACCATATTGAACGACATAGATTTTATAGCACTGAGTGCACGACATAGACCACGTCACACGGATTATATCACATTTGTTGCACCACGTATGTTGCACACCATATTTTGCACAACGTATATTGCATCATTTGAATTACACCACGTGCATGGGTTCGCACATACGCCACATCATATATTTCAACACAAGCTCCCATCATACATTGTATTAAATGTATTGCATACCCTAGATTCTAGATTGCACAACGCCTGGTGCGCAGCATATATTGCATCGCAAGCCCGGCAACACTTAGTTTGGTTCACATAGGTTGCACAGCGCGGCGCGCCATCCGTATTGCACCACGTATAGTGCACCACATACATTGCACGCCATACGGTGCACCATATAGATTGCCCACACTGGCGGCACCACATTGACCGCACTATCTGCTCATACCTACATATAAAAATGCGCTGAGCAGCACGGACTGCACTACACATATTCCATTGCGTGTTTTGCAATCTTCCGACTCCACAACACATGGGTTGCACCACATAGATTGCGTAGCATTTATTGCATACGACGCACAACGTATCGCACACACCTGATATTGCACAGCCCACACAGTAGGCATACAGTATACATAGCCCCACAAAGATGGCATCAAAAATATTGCACCGCGTATATTACACGACGTACACTGCACTGCATCAAGTGCACAAAGGATCCAGTGGCTTGCGGGGCACACCGCCGCCGCGTTTGTGCAACAGCGCAGCAGGATGAAGGCTAAGCGCAACAACGGCGCAATTCGGACCCGTAGTTTGCATTGGGACGGGTCGTGATCCCGATCTTGTCTTCGTCCGTGCTGTAGGGAGGAGGAGGAGGAGGAGGAGGAGGTGGAGGAAGTGGAGGAGAGGGGGGAACCGAGGTTGCGGAACAGGAGGCTTCTTGGAGCCTTGTCGGGGGCCTCATGAGGGCTTCTTGGGAACTTCCTGAAAGCTTATTGAGGCCCTTTGGGGACATCATGGGGTGTCGGTGCCTCTCTTGAGGGCCCTCATGGGGGGGCCTCTCTTGGGAGCGTCGTTGCCCCCATTGAAGCGGTTCACTGCCATCCTGGGGCCCTCTTAGAAGCATCTTAGCTTGTTGTGTGATCGTTGGTTATGTCGGGCCGGGTAGAGGCCCTCTTGGAGGTCTTTGGGGTTGTCTTGGGGGTAGATGTGTGGCTTTTTGGAGGCTTCGTGGGCCGCCTTGAGCGGTCGGAAACCGAAACAGGCGAGATCCTCACAATCTTTCAGACACCTAAGGCACATCAATGATGTTGGCCCCCTTGAGCTCTCTAGAAGAGCCTCTTGCATCTTCTTGGGCCGTCTTGGGGGCTTCTTGATACGTCTTGGGGCTGTCTTGGGAGCCTCTTGAGCCGTCTTGGGCCATCTTGGGTGATCTTGGTGTCCTCTTGGCTGCCTTGAAGGCCGTCATGGAAGCCATGACGCCCCCAAGAAGGCCTCAAAAACATATCAACTGGCCCCCAAGACGGCCCAGGAGGTCCTCCAGGAGAGCCCGAGGATGCCACAACCATTGATTGACCTTGGGTGCTTGAAGGATAGTGATGTTCTGGCAAGTTTGGGTTTCGGCCCGCCCAAGACGGCCCAAGAGGATTGTCTGAGTTGTTTTGGGGCCCTCTTGGCAGCCCCTTGGGCGCTCTTTGGGCCGACCTGGGGCCCTCTTGGGTGCCTCCTGGGCTGCCTTGGATCTGTCTTGCCAGCCTCTTGGACGCCTCTTGGGCCGTCTTGGGCGATCGGACAATCGAACCGGCGAGAACCTCACAGTCTCTCAGAAACCTAACGGAAGTCAATGGTGTTGGCCCCCGTTGGGCTCTCCAAGAAGGCATCTTGGAATTTCTTGGGCCGTCTTGGGGGTCTCTTGGGGCGTCTTGAGGGTCTCTTGGGAGCCTCTTGGGCCGTCTTGAGGCTGTCGTGAAATGCTCTTGCGCTAGTTTGGGCCGTTTTATCTGTCGTC